CGCAAAAACTAAAACGGATGCAGTATTGATACCCACATCAATTGAAAGGTCTTGAAATGTACTTTCAGAATATATACACCATATGCCGGAAAACAAACCTTCGCCTAACGGATTTTCTCGATTTTGGTTGCAAGTCTCATTTGGGTATATTCTACATATGTATCCTAAAAGACGACACCTTTTCGAAGGAACATTGACATGAAATTAAACGAATTAAAATATGTGATCTTTATCGAAAAAATATATGAGAGATATATCTAAATCTGAACCGATTTTCACGAAACTTTGCATACATCATTCTAGACTTAATTCAGTACGTTATGCCAAAATTGGCGCAAATCAAGAGATTTGCAGAGACTTTGGTGCACCATTTATGTAAAATCGGGCGAACTATATATGGAAGCCATATCTAAATCTGAAACGATTTTCACGAAACTTAGCACACTTCATTCTAGACTTAATTTAGAACGCGATGCCAAATTACGTGAAAATCGAAAGATTTGCGGGGACTTTGATGAAACATTTACCTAAAACAGAAACTATATATGGGAGCTATATCTAAGCCTGAACCGATTTGCATGAAACTTATCTCAAGTCATTCTACACTTAATTCAGTACGCTATGCCAAAATTCGTTCAAATCTAATGATTGTCAAGGACTTTTGTGCACCATTTACTTTAAATCGGGAGCTTTATCTAAATCTGAACCGATTTTCACGAAACTTAACATTCAGTACGCTATATCAAAATTCGTGCATATGAAAAGATTTGCAGGTACTTTGGTGCACCATTTAATTAAAATCGGAAGAAACTATATATGAGAGCTATATCTAAATCGGAACCGATTTTCTCCAATTTCAATAGGGTTCGTCCTTGGGCCAAGCCAATGGGCTGTGCCAAATTTCATCCAATTCGCATCATAAATGCCCTGTACTTTGATCACAAAAAAAAAAAAAAAAAAAAATGACGGTGAGACGGGTATGCATAAATCGACTCAGAATGTGATTCTATTCATATTCTCAAAAGGAACCATGGGTCTATCTCGATTCCTTTTGCCTGTTACAAACATATGCACAAAGACATAATACCCTGTACCACAGTGTGGTGAAGGGTATAAAAACCCACGCCTGATATAGTCCTTGAAAAATATTCTTAAAAAAAACAGACGCCTGATATAGTCCTTAAAAATAGTATTAAAAAGAACCACGTCTGATATAGTCCTTGACAAATATTTTTAAAAAAAAATATATTGTCATATAGTCCTTTAAATACTCTCTAAAAAATATATAGTCATACAGTCTATGAAAAATATTTTTTAGAAATATATATAGTCATATAGGCATTGAAAAATATTCTTCAAAAAATCCACGCCTATAAAATCCCTGAAAAAATATTCTTTTAAAACTCCACGTCTTTTATAGTCATTGATAAAATATTCATTAAAATATACCTGACTCATTGAGTGTAAGGTGAACATTAGGTGATTCTTTTACACACACCCAACAAATTCTCAAAAATTAATGACCCCCAAATGTTTTGTTGACAACACACAATAATAATGTCGAACTATAAGATGATGACAAGACAAAAATATTATTGTCATTAGTTTATATTTTTAGGTGCTAGAGAACATACAACACAACACATTTGACACATGGTGTATATCATCACTTTGCGGTAGGCTAAGAACATTGATTAATGATGGTATATCTCGTTTCATTGGTTACCTGGAAGAATATCAGTTTTGCTACTATTGAAGATAATGGGAAGTGTAGTAGGATGAGATGTGTAATGAAATATATACAAATATTTATTAAACGTTTATGAGATAAGTGTCAGACGACATTATCTTTGACAACGTTAGATATGACATATTTGAAATAATTTGTTAATCAATCATTCATCATAACAATAATTATTATTGTGGTTAGTGTAGTATATGCCCATATTGCCACAATCACTTATATAATAATTTTGAAAAAAATCCATAAAAATATTCTTTAAAATAACCACGCCTCTTATAGTCCTTGAGAAAATCTTCTTTTAATAAACCACGCCTCTTATAGTCCTTGAGAAAATCTTCTTTTAATAAACCACGCCTCTTATAGTCCTTGAGAAAATCTTCTTTTAATAAACCACGCCTCTTATAGTCCTTGAGAAAATCTTCTTTTAATAAACCACGCCTCTTATAGTCCTTGAGAAAATCTTCTTTTAATAAACCACGCCTCTTATAGTCCTTGAAAAAATATTCTTAAGAATATCACGCCTCTTATAGTCCTTGAAAAAATATTCTTAAGAATATCACGCCTCTTATAGTCCTTGAAAAAATATTCTTTAAAATAACCACGTCTCTGTTGGTCCTTGAAAAAAATATTCTTTAAAAAAATCCACGCCCTTTATAGACCCATTTAATAGTCCTTAAAAAATATTCTTTAAAAAATCCACGCCTTTTATAGTCCTTAAAAAAATTTACTTCTTTTATAGTCCTTAAAAAATATTCTTTAAAAAAATCCACGCATTTTATAGTCCTTAAAAAATATTATTAAAAAAAATCCACGCATTTTATAGTCCTTAAAAAATATTCTTTAAAAAAATTCACGCCTTTAATAGTCCATAAAAAATATTGTTTAAAAAATCCACGCCTTTAATAGTCCTTAAAAAAATTCACTTCTTTTATAGTCCTTAAAAATATTCTTTAAAAAATTCACGCCTTTAATTAGTCATTAAAAAATATTCTTCAAAAAGCCATGTCTTTAATAGTCCTTAAAAAATATTCTTTAAAAAATCCACGCCTTTAATAGTCCTTAAAAAATATTCTTTAAAAATCCACGCTATTTCTAGTCCTTAAAAATATTCTCTAAAAAATCCACACCTCTTATAGACCTTGAAAAAAATATTCTTTAAAAAATCCACGTCTCTTTTTCCACCTTTTCAACAATTCAAAATGGTACAATGATAATAAATATAATTTTCAATTTATTTTTCCATCCTTTTTCTGTTTCTTATTAATAGTTTCTAGACACGAAAATATTATTTTCATTTAAAATTGTGTAAATGAAAATAGATAGATCTTTGTTGATAACAATAACCATTTTTTAAAGAAACTGTAATGAATGCTACTTATTATTACTACTATTGTTATTATCATTACCAATTTTCGTTTCATTTTGTTCTTTTCGTTGCAGTTACCCGAAATTATTGGGCACTCATATTAATAGTTTTTCCAATTTTCACATTATTTGGCAATATATTAGTGATAATGTCTGTGTTTCGTGAACGTTCCTTACAAACGGTTACAAATTATTTCATCGTTTCACTGGCAATAGCAGATCTTTTAGTAGCTGTAGTTGTGATGCCATTTGCCGTCTACGCTCTGGTAAGTAAGAAATGCTCAATTCAATTCTCAAGACATCATTTGAAATGTACACACACACCCAATCCATACACCCACAATATATTCTTTCGTATTTTGCTTACATTTCATTCTTTGAAATCTTATTGAACAAATATTGCCATCATTTTATTTTTATCTAGCTAGCGTCTATAGGTATGTGTTGCAGTGTTTCTTGAACAAATAGAAATTGATACAATATTCTTCGGCGCTCTGGAGCAATGTTGAATGTTGCAATGCAATTGCATGCACATTGGCATCGTGGAGCTATCGTGTATTAATTTGGTTCCATAAATGTATGCTCTAGATGAAAACTGATTTTCGATTGTTATTTTTATTCACCTAGAATTTCTTGGGATGCTGAATGCGCATAAAGTTTTTTATTTCGTTTGGAAGCTCATTTTCATATTTTTACCTTCTCTAATATTTATTTCCACGAATGAAAATCATTGAGAAAATAAATACTAGAATAAAAAAGAAGAAATGTGATTTGTTACTTTCAATATTTTTTATCGCAATCTTTAAAATTGCTAAAAGGAAATGAAAAGTTGTGAAGCTATCATTCATGGTTGTAGCAATGCTTTTTGCATCAATAGTAAAACGATGACTTTTCTTGACAGTATCATGCAAAGATTAATCGCCGTTAACTTTGCAATCAATTTTTAAATAATATATATATATATATATTTTTAAATATTTTTGCGCTTTACTCAGATTCATTGTGTGTCCTTAAATGTATTCAGTGTGTTATTAATAAATCCATATATTTCATATGACTAACATATTCATAATTCTTGACATTCTTGATTGGGGTAAATTTCTAAGACAATCTGGCCATTTCTGTCCGAAAATTTTGCATCGAGTCTGTAGTCAGGTCAAGAATATGGGACTATTAAAATCTACATCTATTGATATGTTGTCTTTAAGGATCCTTCTTAAAATTTTCTATTATTATTATATATTTTTTTTCGTTAAATTCCTTATGGAATGTTTCCCTCGATATTTTTTATGAGAAACCTCCCCTCTTCAATACTCATCATTTTAGTCTTGGCCGGACTTGTCATATCTTCTTTAATAGACCGATGACAGGATTATCCTTTTTAGGTTTCATCAGCATGTTGCATATCCTCTACACTTTTCTTACTGATTGTTGTTCCCTCGATATTTTTGTATGGGAAGTCTCCCCCTCTTTAATTTGCGTCATTTCGAGTAAAACATTGAAGACATAGTACGCCTAATCCATAGTCGTGGTCAGAATGTTCATATCTTCACGAATAGACAGAAGACCTTAAGCATCCGATCGGTTATAAAGGTTTTTACCTCACCAGCTTAATTTCTTCCCATGGGGAGACATCAATTATTTCTCAATGAGTTCACAACTTCATGGGTCTAATTGGGTCGCGTCTTTGCAGAAGGGCATATAGGATCATATTGCTGATCTCAGTCGTCACCTCTTTGTAAATCTATTTTCTTTGCCTGTCGACGATCGCAGGAGTGGCGAGCAGAGCTCGTCTTTGTAGTGGTTCTATTTGTAAAATTGCAGAGCGAGCTTTGTCCCGCCGATGGATTCTTGGAATAGTCGCCTTTGAAGTTTACTCTCTGAATCTCCTTTGAAATCACGCTCTGTTGACAACACTTCGTTGCTTCCAAGAAAGTAGACAGGATTATCCATGGGTCATCAGCATGTTGCATATCCTCTACACTTCTACTCTACATTAATCCAGATTCAATGATGATTATGTCAGTTTATTTTTGATTTAGTCTCAGAAGTTTGGCCGATATTGCTCTTACCGGATGCTGCTTGTAGCGGCACCCTCAGCTAATGATGCTAAGGCTTCCACATTTGTGATAGATATTTGCTCATGAGTGGGCAGATTCTTTATGGCACAGGATAACATATGTTCTGCACCGTGACTTTATTTTTATAATTGGGTAGCAAATCTCTCTACTAAAAATTATAAACATAGGTCAATTTTTTTTGGGATTTTGGGGTTCTTGAACGCGTTTTTCCACCAGGTAGGTAATATTATATGGTAACAAACCTTCCTCCCCCTTTTAGGGGTAGTCTCACATAACCGCCTTTTTATATTAAAATAGTTATCTGATTTGTTCCGCAGTTTGGGTTGGGTTTTGAGACTTTGTTCTAATCATTCTACCGGCGGAGGATATCGAGATAACAAATTAGAACGTGGAGTTTGAGAATGAACTATATAAAACCTATGGTGATGGCCTTAAATAACTGTAACCTTTAAATTGCAGTATGCATGCATCGTCAATATCGCTCCACGTTTTGGGGTCTTTAGGAAAAATATCCATACAAATTTCTGAAATTTGTGTTTCAGGTATATCGACAGGCATTCAGACATCTCCTCCATATAATGATAATTCTTAAAGGGAAGAATTGAGACACCTAACTAAAATATTGGGTTCGAAATTGTCATATATCGGTCATTAATTAGGCATATCGCTCATATAATGATAACCCCAAATATTCGCTATTTCCTACACTATGTAATCAGTTTTGGTTCCCCTTTAGGCATAGCCTCATATAACTTTGCAATCTAAATTGCAGTAGTTTGAGGATTTTATACCCTACCATGCTTTATTAGTATCAGTCACGTTTTGGGGTTTTCAGATTTTAGGAAAAATTCCCATTTAAGGAAAATAATTTCTCAATATTTGAATGTTTTTGACGTTTTTCACCGATGTTGCCGAAATTTGACATTTTTGTGTAAAAATGTTTTTGTAATAGACTTTAAATATAAGTCAATTTTTTTAAATAACCCCTTATAAAAGTCCCGCTCCTCTTTATATATTTTGAAAAATTTTAGGGGCATTTTAAATGAAAGTGGCTTTAATTTATATTGTTTTCTAGGTCGTTTGAAGTCATAGGCCAATTTTCCCAGTCTGTAATGTGATCATTTGCTTTCTAATCCTCCTGAAGACTTTTTAATCACTCACCCGAGCGATTTTACAATTTAAATCCATGGTAATAGAATAATATTGTCGCCATGTACTGTTAAGGGTACCATCTCCTGGCAATTTTTTCAGATTGGTGTGGATGCCAACAAAAAATGGATGTAAAATGAAGAAAACTGTAATGTAAAATGGATATCCATTCAAATGAATTCATACATAAATAATTGAAGTAAACATATCTTTGTACCGATGATAGCAATGACATTCTAGATAGAAAAAAATCGAAGAAAAACTATATCATAAATTTAGAAAAAATCTGGAATCGATATTTTTTGCTAAGGTATTCTCAATATAAGGGAATAGTAATAAATAAGAATAAAGTTACATTTAAAATACCTACCCATTCATTCATTAAAATTCCGATAATGAGACGGAACCGATATATGGGAACAGTTATGCTAAAAAGTGGGTCGATATATTCCATTTTAAATACCAAACAACAAAATATGTATGTAAAAAATTAAAATTTTTGGCGACTTGGGTGCTATTTTTAAACAGCTAGTATTAAATATGATTTAAATAGTCGAACATAGAGTCTACCCAATAAGTAAGTGCTGTCACTTTCGATTATGTTTTCATATTGTGTACATTTCAAAAACACATCTAAGTTGACAATGACTTTTGAAATACTTGTAATATTTTATTCAGGACCACCACCATTGCTTCACAAATGGCCACAACTGTCATGTGTATTACATATGCTTTTTATACCCTTCACCACACTGTGGTACAGGGTATTATGTCTTTGTGCATATGTTTGTAACAGGCAAAAGGAAACGAGATAGACACATGGTTCCTTTTGAGAATATGCATAGAATCACATTCTGATTCGATTTATGCATGTCCGTCCGTCTGTCCGTCTGTAGATGTTAAATTGTAAACAAAGTACAGGTCGCATTTATGATCCAATTTGGATGAAATTTGGCACAAGTCACTTATTCGGCCCAAGGACGAACCCTATTGAAATTGGGAAAAATCGGTTCAGATTCAGATATAGCTCCCATATATATATTTAACCGATTTAATGTAAACGGTCCCTATATATCTTTCGATTTGCACGAAATTTGGTACAACCTAATCATTTAGGTGTAGAATGATGTCTGCCAAGTTTCGTGAAAATCGGTCCAGATTTAGATATAGCTCCCATATATAGTGTTGTCCGATTTCATGTAAATGGTGCACAAAAGTCCCTATATATCTTTCGATTTGCACGAAATTTGGCATAACATACTGAATTGAGCCTAGAATGATGTGTGTCAAGTTTCGAGAAAATTGGTCCAGATTTCTATATAGCTCCCATATATAGTTTCGTCCGATTTAAGGTAAATGGTGCACCAAAGTCGCTATATATTTTTCGATTTGCACGAAATTTGGCATAACGTACTGAATTGAGCCTAGAGTGATGTGTTCCAAGTTTCGTGAAAATCGGTTGAGATTTAGATATAGCTCCCATATATAGTTGCGTCCGATTTTTGGTAAATGGTCCACCAAAGTCCCTATATATCCTTCGATTTGCACGCAATTAGGCATAACGTACTGAATTGAGCCTAAAATGATTTCTGCCAAGTTTCGTGAAAATCGGTCCTGATTTAGATATAGCTCCCATATATAGTTTCGTCCGATTTTATGTAAATGGTGCACCAAAGTCCCTATGTATCCTTCGATTTGCACGAAATTTGGCATAACGTACTGAATTGAGCCCAGTGTGACGTTTGCCAAGTTTCGAGAAAATCGGTCCTGATTTAGATATAGCTCCCATATATAGTTTCGTCCGATTTTATGTAAATGGTGCACCAAAGTCCCTATATATCCTTCGATTTGCACGAAATTTTTCATAACGTACTGAATTGAGCCTAGAGTGATGTCTGGCAAGTTTCGAGAAAATTGGTCCAGATTTCTATATAGCTTTTCGTCCGATTTCATGTAAATGGTGCACCAAAGTCGCTATATATCTTTCGAGTTGCACGAAATTTGGCATAACGTACTGAATTGTGCCAAGTTTCGTG